GAAACTGCAGAATAAACCTGCAGAACTACAGTTCATTTGCAAACTTAACACCATTAATTTGGGTTATAATAGGGACTGAGAGTGGCTGGCTCACTTCAAAAGCAATTTTCCCTCTCTTGGTATTGATACCTCCTCATGAGTTATTGGGAGTGGACAACATCCACCCTGACTGAATTGGCCTTATCATCACTGGTTCTCCACTTGTAAGGTAACTCCCTTCTCTTCATGTGCCAGTATATTTATGCCTGTATTTGTAATTTTCACTCCATGCATCTGAAGAAGTGGGTTTTTTTACCCATGAAAGCTTATGCCCAAATAAATCTGTTAGTCTTTAAGGTGCCACCGGACTCCTCATTGTTTTTGTGGATACAGGCTAACACGGCTACCCCTCTGATACTTGTATTTTATATGTTAATTAAGAATAAGAAGAGAGGAAAACAAAATGTAGGTTTAAACAGCTTGGTTGGTGCCCCAAAAACCGGAACGTTCCAGAGGTCCTCCTGCTACCACAAAAAGAATATATATTATTCACCCCAACTTAGAAATTGTGCATTTGTTTGTGTTATGAACCAGATATACATCTCTTTATGTAAATAATCTATCTTGTTCCTAATGTAATGTCTCATATCCTATGATAAGCCTTGAAAGGTGTGATGAAGCGGGACTGTTCTTAATGTTTTCTCTGAATATTGTGGGGGTGCCTCAGTTTCCCCTATGCAGTTCTTAAGTATCTAGGTGGTGGGATAAGGGTGTATGATCATTGCAGAGCCCTAGAGGGCAGGTGTGTGCAGGGGTCTGGACACAGAGAATGGCCAACACCCTGTTTCCTGGCAAGTGATGGCCTGGCCCTTCCCCCCTGCAAGGTGAGAGCTAAAGGGTTGGAGAACAAAGGAATCAGGTGCCCTCCTGGCCCGGGAAAGGGACAAAGCCCTGAGGAGGAGGGGCTGGAGAGAGTTTCAGCTGGGGGCTGGGTGGGGACATGGAGTGAAGCACAGATGTGGTTGTCTGGCTCACTGTCCCCCAAAATGGACCCAGCTGAGGGGTCCTGTTCTCTGCACCTACAAGCTCTGTGTTTGACCATGTTCCTGTCATCTAATAAACCTTCTGTTTTATTGGCTGGCTGAGAGTCATGTCTGACTGCAAAGTTGGGGTGCAGGACCCTCTGGCTTCCCCAGGAGCCCGCCTGGGTGGACTCGCTGTGGGAAGCGCACGGAGGGGCAAAGGATGCTGAATGCTCCGAGGTCAGACCCAGGAAGGTGGAAGTTGTGTGAGCTGTTTGTCTTGCAGACAGTCTGCTCACAGAAAGGAGACTTCCCCAGAGTCCTGACTGGCTTCGTAGGGAGCAGTTCCAGAGCATTGCCCGGGAACTCCGTGACAAAAGGTATGAAATGAAAATTATTAGATATAATCAAAGAAGGTGTGGGTCGTGTCCACTAGATTTAGAAGACTTTAAGGGAGTTTGTTTTCTTGGGAAATGGTGTTGTATTCTAGAAGTTAGATATTGTATTGTATATTGTATTCTTAGAAGGAATGTTAAAAGATATAATCATCTAACTACAGGATTGTGACGGAGTGGGAATTTTCTGCAATATTTTGTATGAATACTGTGTGTGCCTCATTTTCTCCTATATGCTGTGTTGTTAATTTGGTGGTTGGGAAAAGCTGTTTATTCTCAGGCAGGCTCTGACATAGGTGTGAATGGCATCTCCCCGTCTCGGTCTGGCCCCAATGTAAATGGAGAATCCATTCAGACAATGGCAAATCCAATCACTGGGACTTTGGTACCTAGCAACCAAGGACCATGGATGGCCCACCCCTCCCCAGGAAGCCAGCTGTGTTGGATCAGCTGGATAGGGTGACCAGACAACAATGTAAAACATTGGGACAGGGGGTGAGGGGTAATAGGAGCCAATATAAGGAAAAGACCCCAAAATTGGGACTGTCCCTATAAAATCGGGACATCTGGTCACCCTACAGCTGGACAACATGGGCCTGAGGAGGGGCCAGGTGGGACTGGCCCCTGGACCTTGAACAAAGAGGACACAGAGGGACAGAGTAGGAGCCAAGGGGGGCACAGTGCTTGGCTAAGGCTCTGGACTAACCAGAATGGACCATGCTGTAACTTTCTTTTCTCCCTGCTAAGCAAGGACTTTCTATGCTGTGCTAATAAACCCGACTGTCTTTACAATGCTGGCTGAGAGTTGCTGTGAATGCTGAAGTAGGAGGAGCTTCCCCCTAGGGGTGTACATGTCTCTTTCAGGTCTTCATCCCAGTAGGACTCACTGAACAGAGCTCACGGCGGGAAGCAGGGGTGCTGAAGGTTCCGAGGTTCAGTCCAAGGAGGCAGTGAAGCCGAGTGGCTTACCCTGGAGGAAGAGCAAGACCCCTAGGGGGTCTGGCACACTAAAGGGGTTCTCCCAGAGACTGTTCCAAGGCTGGGGTACAAGCACTAGTCCTGTGGCTCTGTGACTGGTATGAGTTTGGAATAATAAATGAAATTACTTTAAAAGGGAATCCCAAATTAATAGAGCAAATTATTAAATACAGTCCATTAAACAAATTAAACCCTCCGACTAAAGGAAGCACTGAAGAAATTTCTTACACGCTGACGTCATCTACTGGATATCGATGGAAGCAGCAGAAACACAGAGATGGCTGAAAGCAATTTGGCAAATGGCCACAAGAAATCAGAGGGTTAATCTCTCCAACAAGCCCTGAAATATATAAACCTGAAGTCACCATGTGAGACCCCAGAGTTGACTCAACCCATAAAGAAGCTGCAGAATTCTCCGTGCACAGGTGCCTGGAGCAGCCCTGTAGAAAGGGCTTTCCTCCATTCCAGGGTTAAGAGGATAAGATTTCATCTCAAAGATCATATTTCCCCTTCTTTCTTTAACATCAACAAATGAACGTTCTCTTGAGTAAGTCGACACTCTCTACTGAGTCCTTTCGGGGTTACCCCAGTGGTACAGGGGGAATCATTACCACCTATTTACAGTGCAAGGGAGCCTTGTCTGTGTCCACTGGGGAAACTTGCCCAAAACTACTGGTTGCTGGCACAAGTGCCCCACTCCGGGCTCTGCAAGCCGCACTCCTTCCCTCTGCAGGCTGCCAATTTGCACACCCCAGGCCTGAGTGAGTCCTTGGGGCAGAGCAGAGAGAACCTGTGGCTAAATCTATGGAGATAGTTACCGCCAGAGTTCTGCTCTGAATTGAGCACAGGTCCCTCCCAGCTGCCTGTATACCCCACTTCGTTACACACAAGCACCTGGTCTCATGACTTCTAGGCACCCACAAAGCACACAGATTGCTGCCTCCATGGAAGCAGTGTCCCGCCCCCCAGCTCACTAGCTTCCCTTCAGCACTCTCCTCAACACATAGCACTGAGTTGTGTCTATTTATTTGACAAAGCTCGCAGTAAAGATTCAAAGAGAAGCCAGTAAAAGGATTCAACACATGACTACTGATAAAAGAAAAATGTAAAATGCAATCTAAAGCCTGCGCCTATTAACAAGGCCCTTTCCCGTCTAATAAGGTATTTCTTACCCAATGGCCAGTCCATACAGCACTTGTCCAGCCAAGAGAGCTGGGATCCACTTTTCATGAGACACTCCCACTGGCAGAGCATTGCCTCTGTAATGGACACCATCTTGTCAGTTGGGGCAGTTGTGGGGAGCTGCGGACCCTCCACCTCCCCGGCGGGGGGAGGGGCCAAGAGCAGCCCCTGGCTCATATCCCGCCATTCAGGCAGATGGAGGGTCCACTGCTCCCCATAGCTTCCCAGGCTCCCTGTCCAGGATCCAGCTGCTGGCCGGGCTGTGGGGTGTTGACATAACGCTAGTGTAGACCAGGGCTCAGAGATGACTCAATCAACACTGAAAATAATCAACATCCATGGAGCAGCCAGCCCTGTGTTTACTGTCTGAACCAGGTGCAGGTATGAACATTTACAAAGACAAAGGATCCCAAGAAAAGTCTCTGATCAGGGGAAGCCCTGGGCTAAGAGACAATAGTCTGTAACTAGATGAAGGAAGAAGAAAGGGTACAAGATGTTATCCATTACAGAGGAAAGACTGCCAGCTGGAATGTCTCATGAAAAGTGGATCCCAGCTCTCTGGACCTGACAAGAGCTGTAGGAACTGACCATTGGGTGAAAAATCCTTGATTAGACAGGCAAGTAACTTGTTAATAAGTATAGGCTACACATTGCATTTCGTTTTCTTTTACCTGTAACCTTGCGTTTCAAATCCTTATACTGGCTTTTATTTTTAACCTTTATCTCAAGCTCTGTTAAATGCATTTCAGTTTGATTTGGACATGTTTAAGTGCCTTGTGCTAGGATGGGTGTTGAACTGAGATGAAACCCATAAGCTGGGGTGCACTGCTTCTATGAGGGACAGTGGATCAGTGTACTCTCCTGGCATCCAGAAACAAGGAGCTGGGCACTCAAGTGTAAAACAAAGTGGGGTTTGTAAATTGCTAACCTGCAGAGAGGAAGAATGGAGCTAGCAGAGCCCAGAGCAGAGTTGGGATTTCCCCTGGTGGTCACAGACAAGGTTCTCTTGTGCTGTAAGCAGTTGGTAGTAAATCACCCTGGACACCTCGGATAACCCCAAAAAGTGTCACACCCACACCTGGCCTAGATTGTAAACCCTTGTCTGGGCTGGGTCAGATGTCAATTGTTCTCACTCTCAGTTAGCTCTGAGAAACACCCACCCCCGGTAACCAATTCCATCTCTAGCATCTTCGGAACACAATATTCTATGTATCACAGAACTCTTAAAGTATGTTCCATGCATAGATCCCACAATATCCATGACAACCAGCGAGTTCTTAGCTTTCCGCAGACACCAGGCATGGCCCCTTTGGTGAAGTATTGTGAAGACCGCGATCACAGGGTAAACATGCCCATCTGGGCATGTCTAGGCAAGTCCTTGGGTATAGATTGCAACTGTGTACCCTCACCTACTGCCAATACAGTGTGCTCGGTTCACACCCTCCTTTATAAGTTTAAACAAATTGGCTTAAGAGAGACCTGAACCATAACTTTAAGCAATTGCTTTTGATATACTAAACTACTCCATTTTGAACCAATCTTTTCTAATATTTGAATATGGGCTATAACACTAATCTCATTGGCAAATCTAGTTTGTTAGACTTCAGCTGTAAATTTAACTGGGAACTCTGCAAATCTGTATAATTAACCCCCTTTCATGCTTACAGCCAGCTCTACCCTTGTACGCGCTTGGTGGAGGGCATGAGGACACTCAGGGCATATGTGTGGCCACAGTGGACACTGCTGGGAAAAAAGACCCTGGACTCAGGTGCCTAGTGGAATGTGCATATGGACAACACATGCTGAAGAACTCCAGTCACTGTCCAGGTAAGGAATTTTCCTTTCTGAAAACCAAGAAATACAGAGTTAAGGTAAATGCCCATGTAACCTTAACTTTTCCCCCTGGAGCTGGCAATAGTGACTGGGAATTATCTGCCTGCACTCCAGCTGCATTCACAGTGTTACGTGTAGCTGTACTGAATGTGGGAGGGATTAGTTTGGAGCATTTTGTCAGAGCTGTGATTATGATCTGAGGTGATCTTTGAGGGGCTGTGCCCGTCTGGGGGGAGGAGGGGTGACAGAAGGAAAGAGGTGCACATGTACCTTGGGAGATCCAGGATGCCTCATGTCAGCGCTGAGTTGTGTAGGCTGTGTCAGTAGCAGGGCACTGGGGATGGTCCCCAGTAAGGTGGGAGATGAGTGTGGACTGTGGGTTTAATGATAGGTTAATGAATGTACAGTGTTTGGCATCATGTGCATAAGGGTGAAGGGGCTGTAAAATTTAGCAGATGTGGTGTTTTTTCTGTGGAGGGTGCTAAGTGTTTGAGAGCAAGGCAGGAGTAGATTGTTTCTGTTTAGTACAATACAAAGGCAGAGTGTGAGAATGTGTGATGGGTGTATTGAGGCATCACCCAAAGGGGGCAGAGTTATGGTTGTGTGGGCATGTACCTTAAGTCTATTTTTCCTGGTGTTCATAAGTCTGAGATTTACTGAACTTGAATTCTGGAAGGGCACGAGATACAACCAGACAGACAGCTGTCACTCTGGTTAATGAATTTTTTTCCATTGAATTTCCTAGTTTTTTTTTTTTTAATGAAAGAGGAATGTTGTTTGTAGGAGTTAGCATTTAGGCAGTTGTAATTATCAGGTAGGCTTGCAGTTCAGGCATTACTATGGCTATGTGTGAGGATCCCTGGGGGCTGGAATCTGGGTCTGCTGGTCCCTGATAGACTGCTGCATCCATGACACCACCCAATACCTCTGGCACCACAGTGATCTGCAGGCTGTGAACCTTATGTCACCAAGCACCATAGGATGTGCCACCTACAGAGGACCTGATTGGTGGTGCTCCCAGGATCCCTAATTGGACCAGGTGTACTATTTAAGCCTGGCAGGGACACCAGGAAGCTGTCTGTGCAACCAGGTGGATTCCCAACCATGACAATAAAGGTTCCTTACCTATAACCAAGGCTCTTTGAGATCGATGCTGAGTATGCACGCTCATGGGATGCTCTGAATGGTAGAATTCTGATTAGCAGTAGCCACTGGAGCACTCACCCAGCTCCCTGGCCCCTCTCTTCAGTGAATGTTAAACATTCCCCAGTGAGGGTCTAAAAGAGGCGTGGAGCTCCAGCTTTCTAAGGTCCTTTCCCAGTGAGGAGGATGCTAAGGTTATGGGGAGAGGCAGACTGGGAGTCTAATTATGCAGAGTCCATCTCGAAGAGCCTCGGTTACAGATAAATAACCTTCATTTCTCCTTTGAGTGTCCTCTGCACATGCCCACTCATGGGATAGATTAATAAGGAGCATTCTGGCCCAGGATGGTGGGACCACAGAGTTCTAATTAAACAAGGACTGCCTTGTCAAATTTTGCATCAGATCTAGCTTCCAAATCTAAGGAGTAATGTTTAGAAAGGTGTGAACAGAACTCCATGGTGCTATTCTACATGTCTCTACCAGAAGAACGTGTCTATAGAAAGCCATAAAGACTGACTTTAATCTAGTCGAATGCATTCTCATCCCTTGAGGAATGGGTACCGTACCTCCTTTGATTTATAAGCTTCATAAACAGATAATCTAACCCATTGACAAAATGTTTGTACAAAAATAGCTTTCCCCTTGTCCTTCGTTCCATAACCTATAAACAATTCTGGGGACTGCCTAAATTGTTTAGTCCTGTCTAAATAAAAGGATAGAGTTCTTCTCACATCTAGCTTGTGTAATTTAGTCTCCCTATTATGAGTACGAGGTTTGGGAAAGAAAACCAATAAAATTATAGACTGATTTATATGAAAATTGGAAACCACTTTTCCAATTGGAAACTCACTTTTAGGGTGAGTAAGGGACCAGGGCGTCGGCAGTCTAGCCTAGTGGAATGGCATAAGGCAGTAGTAAGTAAGCAGGGATTGGAGTAATTACCAGAACTGGGCTTGATAAGCAAGAGTCAGGGTCAGAGTCAGGCTGGGTCAGAGACCAGAGATAGCACCAGGCTGGAACCAAACACTGGAGATCAGAAAGCAAGGTGTGGTCTGGAGTCGCAGCAGGCCAGAAATCTGTGTGGTTGCCCAGACAACTTCCTGGGGAACCCTCCAGGGTTAAATAGTGGACAAGGTCAATCAGAGGACTGCAAGGTGCTGTCACTCTAGACCTTTTGGATGGTATTTCCTGTAGTGCCTAATCTCCCCAGTACTCATTGGAAGTGCCTCTGCATGCTGCCATAATGGTGATGTGGGAACATCTGCTGTGCTGGCCCCTCTGCAGAGCTGGGTTCTGGTCCCATAGATCCTTAAAACCCATATGTCTTTATGAAAAACAGTGAATGGTGAATAGCCATTCATGTCTGTAATTCACTTATACCCCTTGCAGACATGATCACTATCAAAAATACTCTTTTGAGAGACAGATGGAATAAAGAACAGCCCCCAAAAGGTACAAAAGGAGGATTCATTAAATGGGACAGAACTAATTCAGATCCCAAGAGGGCAAAGAGTTTCTTATGGGGTGGGGGAGTATGAGTTATTAAAGCTTTTAAAAAATGTCTTAACTGTATCATTAGTAAAAATTGATTTACTCTCCACAGGTACATGGCATGCTGATATGTCTGAGAGAATAACCTTAACTGAAGATAAAGAAAGACATGCATTCTCAGGATACAACAAATACTCTACAATTAAGTGGTGCTGTAAATGGATCTTGATCACATGTAGAAATCCACAGCAAAACCCTTTTCCATTTATGAGTATAGCATTTATTTGTGGACTCTTTTCCAGAATGTAACAGTACATTCTGCACCTTTAATGAACAACTTTTCTCTAGCCCTCCCACAGTTCTATTTCCCACACAGTTAAATGAAGGGACTGAGGATCTGGACAATAGACCATCCCAGTCTGTTGTGACAAGTGCGGTAGCAGTGGCAGAGGCTCCATTAATCCTTCTGGCAGATGAATCAAGTCCAGATACCATAGTTTTCTCAGACATGCTGGCACTATTAAAAGCACTCTGGCCTTATCCTGTTGTTTGTTTATCACTCTCTGTATGAGGGGAAATGGTTACATTAAGCCCTGACACCAGTGTGTCAGAAACTCATCCAATGTTGATTCCTTGTCTCTGCCTGCTCTGGAGCAAAATTGTTGACGTTTCCTGTTGCTGCTGGAGGCAAACAGATATATTATCAGATTCCCCCATAAACTGGAGAGGTGTGTTATTACTTCTTCCTTCACAGACCATTTGTGCATTTGACATGTTAATCTGCAAGCATGTTTTGTTCCCCCATGTGATAGGGTATAAAACCCTTCATTGGACAGCAGAGGATTAAAGAGCAACTCTGGGCACAGGAGGCTCCACCCCTCCGCCCTTGCCAAGCATGCTCCAACTGGAGGTGGGGTTGAAAAGGAAGCCAACCAGCCACTGGCTCCGTTGGGCCAGACAGGGTAGGGAGAAGGACCTGGTCTGGGAGCTCTGGACCAGGATGTAGCCAGTCCCAGGCTAGGAGAAGGAATGTTGTTGAGCAGCAGCTCCTATGGGTTGGAGATGGGTAGGCAGCCTGCAAACTGGTGCTTATGTGAACACCTTGCAGCCCCCAGTGCAGGAAAAGGGGAGGTAAGAAGTAACCCCAAGAGGCTGATTTGAGGCCCCTCAGGGTGCAAGGCACCAGACAAGTCTCACAGGGCCCTGGGTCGGAACCTAGTGGAGCAGGAGGGTCCAGGTTCCCCTACCTCCCCTTTGGCTGCAACCGCTGGACGGAGCAACTGCCAGAGACTGTGACCACTACAGAGCGAATCACAAACCCATTCACATACCCCTACACCAATTTATCCTGGGTGAATGTCATGCTCTGTACACCATTTCCAAAGCCTCTTTGCCTCTAGGCATAATTTTATAGAATAAGTTCCCCCTCGCTTGTTCAGATAACATAGCACCATTGCATTGTCTGTTACTACCTGAAGTACTTTGTATTTGACTTGAGATAGGAAGGACTTTAGAGCTAGTCTTGTGGCTCTCAGTTCTACAATACTGATATGTACTTTTTTTTTTTTTTGGGTAACCAGTGAGCCCTGACTAATATTGTTTTTCAGATGAGCTCCTCAACCTAGTGTAGCTGCATCTGAGGTTTGTATCAGAGGGGTAGCCATGTTAGTCTGTATCCACAAAAACAATGAGGAGTCCGGTGGCACCTTAAAGACTAACATGTGCCAGTACATTTATGCCTGTGGTCTATAATTTTCACTCCATGTATCTGAAGAAGTGGGGGTTTTTACCCACAAAAGCTTATGCTCAAATAAATCTGTTAGTCCTTAAGGTGCCACCAGACTCCTTGTTGTTTTTCTGAGGTTTGTGTTACTGATGGTGGAGGAAAATTGAAAAGTGTACATTTCATTGCATTTTTGAGTCTGTCCCCCCCCTCCCCCCATGAGTGACATTAACACCTGCTGTGGAATTACTATTTGTGATGCATGCTACGCAAACCTGGTCTGTAATTTGTTCCTAACCAGTGCTGAAGATATCTCAGCTGAAGATGAGCATATGGTGGCACTGCTGTGTTTGACAGACCCAGCAACTGAAGAAAATGGGGAACTGACTGCTATAGAAACTGGAGGATATATAAATATTTTTATATACCTCTCCTCTGGGAGAAAAGCTCTTCCCGAAGTAGAATCTACTATGGCCCCAAAAAGTGGCTCCTCTGAGTAGGGTTTAAACACAATTTTTTCCATTTTATTTCTAATCCCAGACTGGCAAAGAGAGAACATATTTGATTTACATATATTAAAATGTCTTCCCTGATGATGCTTTTATTACCCAGTCATCTAGGAATGGGTACACATACATCCCCTGCCTTTTTAGGTACACTGCCACTACCAACAGGCATTCTGTAAACACCTGAGGAGCTATGGATAAACAAAAAAGGAGGACCTTGTACTGAAAATGAAACTCTCATACCATGAAAAGCGGGTATTTCAGATGACACTGTTTTATGGAAACATTCATCTTTTAAATCCAGAGCAACAACCCCATCCTCAAGATAAAGTGAAAGAATTACAGAAGTTATCTCTAACATGCAGAAACAAAATTTCTTTATATAAGTATTTCATTTCCTTAAATCCAAAATAGGGCAAAAGCCCCATATTTTTTTAAATTAGAAAACACCAGTAAAAACCCTCCCTCTGTGATCTTGCAGAACTGTCTCTATGGCTCCTAACTGCAGCAGAGATTGAACCTAGTTCTTTAAAAAAATGAAATGACTTTGATCTCTGCCCAGAGATGAAATGGGTGAGATGTTGTAGGCAAGGATCTTGATTGAATTGTGTAACCACATGCAATAACTTCCAGGATCCACCTGTCTAGTATTAACTCCCAGTGATAAAAACAGGGCAAACAATCCCCAAATATCTGTATCCTTTGGATCAGACAACTGAATGTCCTCCTGGTATGGAATTGGTGAACGTCTAGTCCCATGCATAGATCCTTCTTGATAAGGTGCAGAAGATGGCCACTGGGATTATCTAACCCTGTGAGGGTAACATGCCGTTCAGGCCAAAAAAAAAAACAGTGATGGATTTGGTTGGAAATACTTCTGTGCATCTGGATCCAGTGGGTATGAATGAAACTGTCCAAACTTTTTCTTGGAATCCACTCTCCGATCTGCATCTCCCAACCCTTACATGGTTCAGATAGAACTGGAGACAATAACCCCTTTCAAAAAGAAAGTTGAGAGAAGTTCTTCTCTGGAGATCCAGAAGGGATCTTAGGTGAAGGAAGTAGCAGAGAAATCCTGATCTCTTCTTCCTTCCATCTTCTGCAACAAACGAAGCAGAGGTCCTACAGACAATAGCCTCCTAACTACACAACTCCACTAAGCGTGTCCATCAGACAAACCAATGAAATGTCAAACAGTGGTCATTTTGGAACTCTTTATTCTTTTCAATGTATCAACCCATTTTCCATGAAAAATTTAAATAGTACCCAAAGCTTACAAACCATGTTTGTTCATTGACATGTATGAGGTTTTTACAAAAGAAAGGTTTGACTAGGGTGACCAGACAACAAGTGTGAAAAATCAGGACAGAGGGTGGGGCAGTAATAGGTGTCTGTATAAGACAAAGCCCCAGATATTGGGATTGTCCCTATAAAATGGGGACATCTGGTCACCCTAGGTTTGGCACCCTGTTAAAGTGACCCTCCTCTGCTACAGCCCTACCCAGGCTGGTTGCTATGTGCACCCCGTGAAAGCAGAAATCTCATCTCAGCAGGAGAGGCTCGCAGAGCATTGATTTAGGTCACTGGAAATTCAGTTGACACAATTTGGATTCCATTAGCATCTTGCTTTTAGCCAGTTCTCCAAGCCGGACGGGGCCTTCTGGCCCCCAGTGTTTTCTCCGAGATGGGTGCAGCCTGAACGAGATGCCTGGGCCCCAAGAAATACAAAATAAGGTGGGTTTCAGAGTAGCAGCCCTGTTAGTCTGTATCCGCAAAAAGAACAGGAGGGCTTGTGGCACCTTAGAGACTAACAAATATATTAGGGCATAAGCTTTCGCGAGCTACAGCTCACTTCTGCCTGGGCCCAGAGAGGTCCCCCCAGTAGGGGCAGTTCAGCCGAGCGACCGATGCAGAGACGGTTTGCCCTTGTCCATAGGGTGCGCTGGTCCGGGGCTTCCTGGTCGGGGCTTGCCGGTCAGCGCTCCCCGGCCACAGCAGCAGCAGCGCCGCCGCCAGCTCGGCCAGCACCAGGCCCACCGCCAGCAGCCCGTCCCGGCCACACGGGGCGCACCGCGGGCAGCCGGCCGAGTCCAGGGGCGGCGGGGCTGGGAGAGGAGGGGTCACCCCGGGCCGGGGCCGCGCGCCGGCTCCCCGGGGCCTGGTCCGAGCGGTCACCGCCGGCCAGCGGAAGAGCCCGCCCAGCCGGGCCTCCCGCGCCCCCACTGCCATGGCAACAGCCAGAGCCCGCCTGCGCAGCACGGGGCGGAAGTGCCCCGGCTCGCGGCGACGGCCGGCTCCGTGAGGGGCGGAAGTGCCGCGCTTTACGACCTGCGCGCTGGTGCAGGGCCGGCTCGCGGAGCGGCCAGTACTTGTTCCTACCCACGTGTGCTGGCCGGGCGGGGAGCCGGGCTGGGCGCGCGGCGCAGGTGAGGGGCCTGGGGGGGATGGGCCCTGGTCGTCGTCCCCCCCCCGACTTGCGCGCGGTGTCTGGGGCCAGCCCGTCCCCGCCGGGCTCTGCCGGCTCCGCCCTGCCGCGGGGAGGATGGGGAAGCCGGACTACCGGGGCCCGCCTTTGGGGGGCGGAGGGGGGAAGCCAGGCGCCCCGGGCCCTGCCTTGGGGTGGGGGGAGCCGGGCCCTAGTCCCAGCTCTGACGGAAGCATCCTTGGCAGGCCTGTGCTGTCTGTTCGGTGCCGGTTTCCCAGGTAGCTCGTCCCGCAGGACCTGGCTGTGCGATCTACACCCGTAGCCTGTGCGATCCTGTGCCAAGGAGCCCAAGCCTGAGCCCGGCTCGTGTCTCCCCAGCAGCAGCTTCCGGGCGCTGCCGATGGCCGAGGAGGATTTGTTCCGGAGCGACCACCCCGTGAGCGCCAGCGAGGATGAGGTAGGAGAGGCTCTTGCGGCCCCAGCACTGGGGCAGTGACCTCAAGGCATGGCTGCGTTTGGGTCGCTTACCCCGAGCCAGTGCCAGGCTGCTGTTGACAGGAGGGCTCAGGCTCCCCAGGCCTCCCACGGGGGGCGTTGTCCTGCCCTGAGGGGTAAATACAGCGAGCTTTATTGTCTTCTAGTGTTGTAGTAAAATTAGTGAGGTGGAATAGGGGCAGGAAGTGAGACCGCCTTGCGGGGCAGGTCACGGTGGGTATATGAAGGTGGCCGTGCAGTGCAATGGAAGAGGGTCCTGGGGGGACTTGAGAGGCAGTGGGGGCAAGGCATATGGTGGTGGTGGGGCCTCAGGCTGAGCTGAAATTTGTGTTTGGTGATGTGGGCACTGCACTGCAGGGGTCAGGCCTGTAACTGAAGGGCAGCTCTGAAG